CTCAGAAACCACAAAAGCAAAAAGAGAGTAGAGTGAAATATTTAAAGTGTTGAGAGAAAAAAGTGGCACCATAGAATTCTATACCTCAAAAAATTATCTCTCAAAAGTGGAGAAGACATATAAAGACTTTCTCAGACAGGCCAGCTACAGTGGCTCACGCCTGTAATCCCAGCACTTTGGGAGACCAAGGCAGGTGGATCACGAGATCAGGAGTTCGAGACCAGCCTGGCCAACATGGTGAAACCCCGTCTCTACTAAAAATACAAAAATTAGCTGGGCGCTATGGCACGTGCCTATAATCCCAGCTACTCAGGAGGCTGAGGCAGGAGAATCGCTTGAACCCAGGAGGCGGAGGTTGCAGTGAGCCAAGATCTCACCATTGCACTCCAGCCTGGGCAACAGAGTGAGACTCCATCTCAATTAAAAAATAAATAAATAAAAATAAAAAATAAAAAAGACTTTCTCAGACAAGCAAATATTGAGGCAATGTGTTGCCAGTAAGACCTATTTTACAAGAAAAGTTAGAAATTCTTAGGAGAAAAGGAAAATGATAAAGGTCAGAAATTCAGATCTACATAAAGAAAGCAGAGCACTGGAGAAGGAATAACTGAAGGTAAAGTAAAAACGTTTTTCTTACACTGAATCTAACATGAAAGTTCATTCAAAATAATCATACATATAATTATATATGGATATACATATGCTTATGTGTGCTTATCTTTGTATGCTTCTATATCGGCGAAGTAAATGACAAGATATAAGGGATGGTGAGATAGAGCAGAGACCTCTCTCTTAGGGGCCTACCTCTCTCAGCCTTCACAGAATTAATGAAAGGTAGAACCTTGCTCTGGATTAGACTTTGGCTCAAGGAAATGCTGTGGCTGGTTTGATCTTCTATCCAAACCACTAAAACTTTCTCCATATCAACAATAAGGCTGTTTTGCCTCCTTATTATTCATACATTCCCTGGAGTAACCATTTTCTTCAAGTACTTTTTCTTTGCATTTACAACTTGGCTAACTGGAACAAGAGGCCTGACCTTCAGCCTGTCTTGGCTTTCGGCATGCCTCACTAAGGTTAATCATTTCCAGCTTTTGATTGAAAGTGAAAGATACATGACTCTTCCTTTCACTTGAACACTTACAGGCCACTATAGGGTTCTCAATTGGCCCAATTTCAATATTGTTGTGCCTCAGAGAATAGGGAGGCCTGAGGAAAAGGAGAGATTGGAGAATAGTCTGTTGGTAAAACAGTCAGAACACACACAGTTATCAGTTAAGTTTGCCATCTTGTATGGGTGCAGTTTGTGTCTCTCCAAAACAACAGAAACATCAAAGATCACTGATCACAGATCACCATAACAGATATAATGGAAACGTTCAGAAACTTGCCAAAGTGTGGCTAGGCACGGTGGCTCACACCTGTAATCCCAGCATTTTGGGAGGCCGAGTTGGGAGGATAGCTTGAGCCCAGGAGTTCAAGACCAGCCTGGGCAATATAATGAGACCCCCAACTCCATTTTTTAATTAAAAATAAAAATAACAAATAATAAATAATAAAATAGAAATTTACCAAAATGTGACATCGAGACACAAAGTGAGCATGTGCTATTGGAAAAATGGTGCTAACAAACTTGCTCAATGAGGAGCTGCCACAAGCCTTCAATTTGTAGCCAGGCATGGGACAAGGGGGCTGGTCTCCAAACCCTGGGCTGAAGGCATCCTCACCCCTATTATCCCAACGCTTTGAAAGGCTGGGGATGAAAGATTCCTTGAGTCGAGGAGTTCAACACAAGCCTGGGCAAGAGAGACCTCATGTCTACAAAAAATGAAAAAATAAGCTGGTTGTAGTGGTACTTGCCTGTGGCCCCAGGTACTGAAGAGGCTGAGGCAGGAGGATCCCTTGAGCCCAGGAATTCAAGGTGGCAGTGAGCTATGATCACACCACTGCACTCCAGCCTAGCTAATAAAGCAAGATCTCCATCTCAATTTAAAAAAAAAAAAGGCTGGATGCGGTGGCTCATGCCTGTAATCCCAGCACTTTGGGAAGCCAGGGCAGAAAGACTGCTTGAGCCCAGGAGTTCGAAACCAGCCTGGCAAACAGAACAAGACTCTGTCTTTTTTTTTTACTAATTTGATAAATTTTTTATAATTTTATTTTTTTAAGAAAGACAAACCTTCAATTTGTAAAAAACACAGTATTTGCAAAGCATAATCAAGTGAAGTACCATAAAACAAGCTGTGCTTGTGTATCACTCATCACTTTAAATGTCAATTGTCTAAATGTAGCAATTAAGACAGAGATTGTCAAAGTGAATCAGGAAACAGACTCAATTATATGTTTTCTACAGGGAACCCACTTTAAATATAAAGACACATAGAGATTAAAAGTATATGGATAGAGAATGATACACTATGTTAACACTAACGTAAAGAAAGCAGGAGTAGCTACATTAATTTCAGACAGTAGACTTCAAACCAAGGAAAGCTATCAGGGATAAAGAGAGCTTTACCTAGTAACAAAGGGGTCAATTCTCCAAGAAGACATAACAATCCTGAATGTGTATGCACCTAACAATAGAGCATCAAAATAAGTGAAGCAAAAACTACTAGAGCTATATGGAGAAATAGATGAATCCACTATCAGAAATGGACAGATCCAGGCTGGGCACCATGGCTCACACCTATAATCCCAGCATTTTGTTAGGCCAAGGCAGGAAGATCACATGAGGGCAGGAGTTCAAGACCAGCCTGGGCAACATAATGAGACTCTGTCTGTAAAAAACAAAACTCAGTAAGTAAATAAATAGGTGAGTGCGGTGGACTACACAAGTCGTCTCAGCTACTCAGGAGTCTTAGGAGGGAGGATGACTTGCACATAGGAGTTGAAGGTTGTAGTAAGCTATGTTCATACCACTCCATTCCTGCCTGAGCAACAGAGTGAGACCTTGACTTAAAAAAAAAAAAAAAAAAAGAAAGAAACTTAAAAAAAGAGAGAGACAGAAATGCAAGAAATGCACAGATCCAGCAGGCTGAAAATCATTAAGGACGTGGGTGAATTCAACATCAGTCAACTGGATATAATGGATATCTATAGACTATTTCATGCAACAACAGAATATACATTCTTCTCAAGCTCACATAGAATGTTCACCAAGATAGACTACATTCTGGGCCATAAAATACAACCTAATAAATTTAAAAGAATACATTTGTGGGATGCAGCAAATGTATTTAAGGGGAAATCTACAGCATTAAACGCATATATAGTTATGTAAACAAACCCCTCACTAAGCTAAACTACAGGAATTCCTGTTAAACCCCTACAGGAATTCCTGTTAAACCCCAGATATTGTGCTGGGAGATACACACTTTAACCAGCCCTACATCTAATGCCAGGAGCTACTAAGTAAACAGCATAGAGTCCAACAGTACCATATACCCCACTATTTATCAAACATGAAAGCGGGGGAGAATTCATTTAAGGAGGAGTGGAAAAAACAAATGAACCAAGCAAGAGCTTCTGAAAAACATCTACAACATAAAAGGAGCTTAAGGTTTCTCCATAGTGGAGAAAAAAAAACATAATGGTTGATTATAGGAGACAGAATGTTTAAGAAAATAACTGCTGCAAGGTACAAGAGTTCTATGATCCCAACACTTTGGGAGGCTATGGCAGGAGAATCACTTGATGCCAGGAGTTCAAGACCAGCCTGGGCAACACAGTGAGACCCCGTCTCTCCAAAAACTGAAAAAAAAAAAAAAAAAAAAAAAAAATAGCCAGGCACAGTGGCTGCCTGTAGTCCCAGCTACTCAAGAGGCTGAGGTGGGAGGTAGGCTCCTTGAACCCAAGAGGTCAAAGCTGTAGTGAGCTATGATTGTGCTACTGCACTCCAGTCTGGGGTTGGAGGGAGGGAAAAAAGAAGGGAGGGAGGGAAGGAGGGAGAGGGGAAGGAACATCACAATTTAATCGACTTTGCCATTATTAAGAAGATTAAATGTAGTAATGTGCCACTTACCTAAAGAACGGTATAGTGAAAATAGTTACTTCCGTTTAACAAATATTTATTTGGCACTAACTTTCTGTCAGATGAAAATGGAAACAAAACTTAATGCCCAGTCTCTGCTATGCCCTAAACAGCTGAATAGCATCAACCAAGTCACTAAATCTGTTTCGTCAGTTGCAAAATGCAGCAAGTGAACCAGAAGAAATTCAAGGCCACCTTCAATTCTAAAATTTTATGATTTTAGGAAAGCAAAGTGGAAAAGCATATTGGGAATTATTTGAGCCAGAAGTATAAGACAAGAAAGGGAAGTGACTAAGACACCAACAACCATCATTGATTAGGAAAATATAACAAGGTCAGAGAGGGACTTGTACAATGGTGACTTCTTTGTCCTCTGTCAAATGCTTACTGTTCAACATAAAGTTCTATTTTCAATATAATAGCTAATTATGGTTTTCCAGTTAGTATTTTAAGGTACAACTTTTTTTCAAAAAAAGTTAATGAATTAATTAATTCATTAGGCAACCTATACTGACAGATCAAATAATTACAAAATAGGAGGCCTGGGAAACATTTAAGTTAAAATTGTAGATTGTCAACAGTCAGCTATTATATTATGAAATCATCCTTAAGAACAGAAAGGACTTGTACCAATTATGTACGATTTTCTTAAATTAATATTCACATTCTGTTGTCTATACAAAATAGAAGATTAAACAAAAAAGATTTATTTTGTCAGCCCAAAACAGAGAGAGATTTATTATTTCAAAAGACTAAAAGAGCAGTTATCCTGATTCTCTAACTGAAATACTCCCAAACCTGATGAGATTTGTACAGTTTTCTTTCTTACCTGAAAGACAAGTGCTTAGTAAAAGGGTATGATGACTGCTTACACCATGTTCTACACGTTTCATATAAAGATAAAACCTGATATTTCATATAAAGATAAAACCTTGTCGCTTTGAACGAGAGCAACAAGGACTGCAGGGCTCAGCTGTGCCTCCTTGTTATGACCATTGTGTCTAAAACAGTGTATTGCCTGCAGCCCACCTTTGCACTAAGCAGCGGCCAGCCCGCAGACACACAAATTCAGGCCACTTCTAAGAGTCTCTTACCTGTTAGGTCCAAAGAAGTTGATGTTTCCAAACAGCTTCATTCAGGAGGTCCAGAGAATGATGTTACAAAAATCACCAAACTGAGATGAGAGAATAGGCAAATGAAAGCTACTGACACCACCACCAGAAGGAATGTCAGAAAAGGTTACAAACCACTAAGTAAGCAAAAATCAGAGGAAGAGCTCAAGGACAAGAACCAGCTCTTGGAAGCCGTCAACAAGCAGTTGCACCCAAAGTTGACTGAAACTCAGGGAGAGCTGAAGGACCTGACCCAGAAGGTAGAGCTGCTAGAGAAGTTTCAGGACAATTGTTTGGCAATTTTGGAGAGCAAGGGCCTCGATCCAGCTTTAGGTAGTGAGACCCTGGCATCACAACAAGAATCCACTACTGATCATACGGACTCTATGTTGCTGTTAGAAACTTTGCAAGAGGAGCCGAAGCTTTTTAATGAAACAACAAAAAAGCAGATGGAGGAATTACAGGCCTTAAAGGTAAAGTTGGAGATGAAAGAAGAAAGAGTCTGATTCCTAGAACAGCAAATCATATATAACAATCAAGTAAATGATTTAACAGCAGCCCTTAAGGAAATGGAACAGCTATTAGAAATGTAAGAAGCGGCAAGTGGCCAGATGGCTCCCTCTTGGGCATAAACTCTCGGAGGAAGCCACTTAGAACATCTTCTTGGCCATGATCTCCTGGGACTCACCATCTCCAGAATGAAAACAGTATCTACACTAGAATTAAGTACAGTTTATGCTGAAATGACCATTCCTCATTTAAGCAAGTTTTTTCAACCTTCAGGTTGGTCAGCCCTCCTGAGCCTCACAGGTGGATAATTGAGGCCTATAAGAGTGGGGGCGCCTAGGAGCTTGGATTGACCTTCTAGGCAACCACCTGATTCCAGCACACCATTAGAATCGGGAGACTACTAACCACCAACAACCAGAGGATCTAAAACGTCACATTCAGATTTTCGGGAAGAAAATCTTCATTACAGTAGAGCACAAGTGTTCCATGGGAGACATCATAGAGCCATGCTGTCCCCTTCTAACCTGGAACACATTCTGTCTAGTCCTGGTAGAGGTCTGTGCCTCCTTATTAATTTATGAACTTGAAGTTGCTTGAAGTGTTTTGGGCTTAACAAATGGGGTGAAAGTATCGGTAGTAATAACACCTACATGAAACAATACACCTTGAAGCTTTCTAAATATAAAAAAAAAAGATAAAACCTCAAAAAAGTATATTCTTTATTACATAAATATAAAATTATAGTACTTAGATGAAAATGTAATTATTATTTGATTGTGGGACACCGAAGCAACTGATGTTAATCAAGAGAATATATTTATTACAAAGTAAAATTCAGACAAAACTAGAAGAATTCAATCAAAAATATTTAGATGTTAGCAAGTCATTGGTAAAAGGAGTATGTGTTAACAAAAGGTTTCTTAAAATAAATTTTTTTTTTTTTTTTTTTTGAGACGGAGTTTCGCTCTTGTTACCCAGGCTGGAGTGCAATGGCGCAATCTCGGCTCACCGCAACCTCTGCCTCCTGGGTTCAGGCAATTCTCCTGCCTCAGCCTCCTGAGTAGCTGGGATTACAGGCACGTGCCACCATGCCCAGCTAATTTTTTTTTGTAGTTTTAGTAGAGACGGGGTTTCACCATGTTGACCAGGATGGTCTCGATCTCTTGACCTCGTGATCCACCCACCTCGGCCTCCCAAAGTGCTGGGATTACAGGCTTGAGCCACCGCGCCCGGCCAAAATAAATTGGTCATTAAATGTCTTAGTATTGTGCAACTCCAAGAACATGTGAGAATAAGAAAAAAAGAGAAAACACACCTTTTAAAATCATGTCAGATGATTTAGCTAACAAATAGTGAATCATGTCTAGTTATATTGCATTCAAGTTCTAGCTCTCGTTAGTCATTTACTTTAAATCAAGGCATCAAAGGAGTTCAAAAGTTAACATGCACACAAAAAAAATTGTGGGAACTCAGTCCAGTAACACCCACTCTACATTACCTAAGATATGAGTGTAAGCAAGTACTGGGAGTCTTAATTAATGTATAGGTATGAGGCAACAAGGAATTCTTAATTATGAAGAATAAGATGTAAAAAGCAAAAACTTAGCCAAAATAGTTCACTATAAAATGACAAAATAATTTGGAAAAGGGTCTCTTTTTTTCTTTTCAATATGCAGGGGTTTTAATTTTTGTTTACTACATCAAAAAGTAAGAAATATTTTTACGTTATAACCCAACAAACATTTCATGAAACATTATTGAACTTTACTATATGTTATAAAAGTATATGTTTCCTATTTCTTCCCTTTTTGTTTTATTCTGGTTACACCCTACTGAATTGTTATTTCACAATCTACCAATGGATCTTAACCCGCAGTCTGATGAATATTACTTTATGGCATACATAGACCATTAAGTTTCAGCCTTGAATCAAATTCTAAATTACGAGTGTCAAGAATTTCAGTAAAAAAGGAAAGTTCTCAGAATTAAAGGAACAAACAGACTAAGCAACAGGGAGAATTTTTTGAGATAGGAATTGGATTTATCCAACGGAAAATGCCTTATACTCTCTTCATTCCATTTGTGAGCCTGAACAAAAAGTATAAATATGGCTAATAAATTAACATTCTCACAGTAATCTTCTGCATGAGAAAGGTTGCTGTTTAACTAACTATAATATAAAAACACAGCAATCCTTAAGTCACTTGGAAGCTCCTTTCAGAGTTTCCACTAATTACATTCTTGCTTCTTTTCATCCATCAATTACATTCTACAATGTTCAAGGTAAAGAGCCACTTCCTACTAAATATTGTTTTCAGTTTATTTTATTACAAGAATTACAATGACATTGTTCTATTTTATTTGGGCACAAGTGCAATACATTTTAATTAATTTATGTCTTAGACATGCTTTTATTTATAGCCTTTTGACCTGAAAACAGGATCTCCATTTATAATATTTGGAAACTGAAAAGTATCTATGGCAGGTTTTAATCAACCTAGAAATTTATTTTGCCAGGCTAAGGACAATCAATGCCTGGGAAAAAAAAAAAAAAAAAAAAAAAAAAAAAAAACAGAATCACAGAAACAGTCTATTGTCTGTGCCTTTCTCCCAAGATGACTTGGAGGGCTTCAATGTCTAAAGCGGAAAAGTGGGCTGGAGGGGAAAGAGGAACTTATCATTCACATGTTCCGAGACAAAATGAGCAGGTCAGGAAATAACCAAGTATGCATTGGCTTATGCTCAGTAAGTTGGCACTTTACATAAGATAAAGTGAACATACAGTAGCTACCTGTGGAGATATTTAACCTTTTATCTGTCGCTCTCTACTTAGAAACAAAAGGAAATGCAGTTGCTTATATGACTCAGCTTTCAGCTTAATTTTTCCCCTTGGCATAATGAATTGGGGTCGTTTTGTTTTTCTTTTACATATTGCTTCTAATAGAAAATAAAATTAAAATTCCAAACTGAATTAGAAACTAATTTTGGAACAGTATACATTTGTTAGCTCAGCATTTCATCTAGAATTTGGGGCAAACCTGGTAGACTAGGGGAGATAGAGGTGGAAATAGGTGTTCACCTGTTGAATAGCAGCATTAGGGAGAAAGACTTTTAGAAAAGTTGATAAAACCAGCTGAGCGCAGTGGCTCACACCTGTAATCCCAGCACATTGGGGGGCCAAGGAGGGTGGATCACAAGGTCAGGAGTTCGAGACCAGCCTGACCAAGAGACGAGCCTGACCAATATGGTGAAACCCAGTCTCTGCTAAAAATACAAAAATTAGCCGGGCAGTAGCAAGCCCAGGTGTAGTGGCAGGCACCTATAATCCCAGCTACTCGGGAGGCTGAGGCAGGAGAATTGCTTGAACCCAGGAGGCAGAGGTTGCAGTGAGCCAAAGATTGCACCGTTGCACTCCAGCCTGGGCAACAGAAGGAGGCTCCAACTCATAAAAAAAAAAAAAAGAAAAGAAAAATAGGTAAAACCACAGAAGGATCAGGAGATTGATAGAGTCAGCAAGTTAAGACGAAGCACAAGACATATACAGACAGCAATAAAATTTCTGGGACAAAGGGAAAGAAAAGGATTGTCGTTTTACTGTAGAGTAGAAGGAAGGGGGACATAGAGAAAGAAGAAGAGAAACAAATAATTGGTGACGACCTGGAAGTTAGACACCACAGCTGATGGAATCCATATAAGCAGCAGATTTCTCTTCATATTAGAGATGAGGAAACTGAGGTTAAGGAATATACCCTAAATCACACATACTTTTAGGATTTGAACCAAAATCTAACTGCAATCACCATGTTCTTTTCCCTCAACATCACTGTTCCCTGTTTAGAAAGAAGGTGAAAGTAAAGAGGTTCAGCAAAGATCCATGTTGCACAGGGACAAACAGTGTGAGTGGGGGGCTACCGGGACAAACGTTGAGATCTAAGTTTGCCTACCTCATTCAGAATGTTAAATCGCTTTATAAGAGACTGAGTAGCAATGTAGAGATTTATTTCATAGAACTAAAGCGCTGGAAAATATGGATGTAAAAATCCATTGATGCCTGAAAACAGTAAGTTGTCAACAAATGATAATTGCCACTATTTATATTATCATCACTATTAACTTTCCATCTCCTCAATATGTGCTAATTTCTTCTGAACACTACTGGGCTTAGATAAACTGAGATTTTTGCATGTTTCTTGCATCTGTATTTAATTTGTTCAAATCTAAAATATTTCAGAAAATGTGCTCCTTTTCTTTCTAGCAATTTAATTTTACCTTCATAGAAAACTTCTACACCAAAGCTAAGATGACTTTGATAGCTCAAATTATAGGGAAATTAAAACAGGGCAAGTATTTCCACTTCCCCAGACAAAAATGTTTCAGACTCCATTTTCAGAGAAGTGAAGAAAAGTGATTTCCTTACATTAACAGAGTTATGACATTTTCAGAGAAGTTTCTAAAAAACAAAGAACAAAAAAATGGCACATTCAATACTAATTCAAGATCTGTCAGATCTGACAACTTAAGATGGTAGGAAAGACTTCTTTTCTTTTTTTTTTTTTTTTTTTGAGATGGAGTCTCACTCTATCGCCCAGGCTGGAGTACCATGGTGTGATCTCAGCTCACTGCAACCTCCACCTCCTGGGTTCAAGCGATTCTCCTGCCTTGGCCTCCCAAGTAGCTGGGATTACAGGCACCTGACAACATGCCCACTTAATTTTTGTATTTTTAGTGGAGACAGGGTTTCACCATGTTGGCCAGGCTGGTCTTAAACTCCTGAACTCAGGTGATCCGCCTGCCTCGGCCTCCCAAAGTGCTGGGATCATAGGCATGAGCCACCGTGCCTGGCCAGTAGGAAAGACTTCTGAAAAAGATTTTAGAGTTTGAGTGAAAGTAAGATAAATCTGGAAAAACAAAGTAATTTGAAACTCTACAATCTAATCCTAGTTTCCCTAATCACAGCACTATCAGCAAGTAACTTTCAATTTTCTTTCTATTTTTAATCTTTTTTTTTTTTTTTTTTTGAGAGAGAGAGAGAGAGGGTCTCATCTTACTGTGGTGCCCAGGCTGGAGAGCAGTGGTACGATATTGGCTCACTACAACCTCCACCTCTCAGGGTCAAGCAATCCTCCCACCTCAGCCTCACCCTCCAGAGTAGCTGGGATGACAGGCGCACACCACCATACCCAGTTGATTTTTTTTTTTTTTTAGAGACAGGGTCTCGCTATGTTACCCAGGTTGGTCTTGATCTTCAGATCTCAAGCAATCCTCCCACCTTGGCCTCTCATTGTGTTAGGTTTACAGACATGAGTCATCTCACCTGACCAATTTTTCCATTTTCTTGATTCATTTTCTGGAAAAATGACTGGAAACAAATATCTTATTACATGATATACAGGTTTCATTTGGATCATTCCATGTAGCCCTCACAATCATCCTTTCCTTAAAACAAAATTCAGTGCTAAGTGGAATGGCCCCTTCTCTAAACACCAAAAACTAATAGCTAAAACAAAAGTAAACAGTATTAATCTATAATTTAATAACGTCACTATGTATTGCATGCCTGCTCTATTCCAGTCATCACAGTCCTCCTTTACATGTGTGAGTGTTAATTCTTGGAAGAAACATACAAGGGTTTTTTTGTTTGTTTGATTGGTTGGTTTTTTACTGGTATGGAAACTGAAGCTCACAGAGCTTAT